TTCCCTGCACCTGCACTACGGGCGGTAGCCGTGCAATAAAGAAAGAGGGACAAGGCGTGGATGCAAAAGAGGGCGTGCCAGTCAGCCAACCAGGTCCGCGAGAAAGCGAGCGAGAGAACCTGGGCAAGGCTGGGCGGGGGAAGGCGGAACTTGGCTGGCGTGCGTCAGGCGAGCGCGGTTAGTGGCGGAGACGCAAGCTTTTAGGGCGCAAGGCGGGGTGTGTGTGTGTGTGTGTGATTTATTAGCCTGCAATCTGGCTTCGCGAGGCTGGGCGAAGGCCTGATAAGAGCCCTGAATGGGGTTGATGTCACCGTGATGTCAGGCTCGTAGTCTCCAAGAGCCGAACACCAGCAGGCGTCTCTCAAGCAAAGGAAGAGCCGTCTCTCTCTCTCTCCCCCCGTCCACTTCAGTCCTCAGAGGCACGACAGTACCTCCACTGCGCGGCCACTGCGCCTGCCGGCTACTTCCCCGCGACTCAACTTTCCGCTCTGGCTCCGGGTGCTGGCCGCCTCGTAGCCCCCCTCGGCGTCCCGGGCACCCTGCGTTGCGCCGCTTGGCTTTGTCCTCCTGGAGGGGGAATTTCCACCTCAAGTAGGTAAGAGCTGGCGCTGTTGTCTCCAGCAATGTCGTCCGTGGAGATGGCTGGTGGGAGAGTTGGTGCTCAGTCGTTCCTCCCTGAGGGCTTTCCCCAAAGTTTGAGACTGTCCACCACTGCTGATGTGGATGGTCCCTACAAATGCATAAACGTGACCTCCCCGCCCCTCCCCACTTTTCTCCTCTCTTAAGGTTTTTAAATAAATGGGTGAGAAAGGAGGAGAAACCTCGCTCCCTCGTTCTCCCGCTGTAATTTCCCTTTCTTCTTTGCAATCTGGGTTTAGAAGGGACTCTTAGGTTTGCCGTTCAAACTATTGTGTTTAAATTATTCCATGTAGCTGTCTTGTTGAATTTGGTAGTGTGTAGCACACGTTGTCAAATGTAAGCATTTTTTTAAAAATAGAAATCCATATTTGAGGCTGGGCAGGAGAGTCTTGATGATTTTTAAAAGGGAGAACCCCCATGAAAATGGAGAAGGGAAGCCCCTCTCTGTCTCCAGTCTGTCCCTTATCTTTGAGGAGTGTTATTTAAACAGGAGGGTACACAGTCACTCTTTCAAAGGTCAAGCTGCTGGTGATGAGATTTTGGATTTAGAAATTTGCAAAATGTAAGGCGTCCTTTCTCTTTAACTGTTGTGATTTTCTTTATCTTCTTTTTTTTTAAACAAATGGCAAAGGAAGGGCCTGATAACTAGAAATGGCATTGAATGGCTAGGAGTAAAGTAGATAAATAGTAAATTGTTAGCTCAATAGCGTGGTGTAGTGTTGAGTTTTGGACCAGAAAGATCTGGGTTCAGATCCCTGCCCCATTACAAAGATTGTGGCTGACTATCTTTTGGGGTTATTGTGAGGATAATATGGAAATAACCTCTTATATGTTACCTCAAATTTTTTGGAGGAAGGATGACATGACTATAAAATGCTGTTGGATTCCATAATGTATTCTGAAAGAAGTGTGGGAGTAAAACAAGTGGGTACAGAAAGCCAGGCTACCTGGGTTGGGTTGATGGTTCTGGGAAGGGCTTCCCTACTTTGACTAAGTGGTGATGCTGGAATATAAAGATTAGGCAAGAACTGGTGGAGTGTGAAGTAGCCAGAAGGAGTGCTTGCTCTTTTGTCCCTGCAAATAGGAAAAGGTCAGCTGCTGTGGGAATTTTGAGCCAGGGGTGCAATAACTTTCCTAGCTAAGAAGCACACGTCTTCAGAAGTGTGCATGCACACAAAAGCTTATACCCATAATTAAACCTTGTTGTGCTTAAAGGTGCCACTGGACTCAAATTTTGTTCCAGTGCTTCAGACCAACATGGCTGCCCACCTGGATCTATTTCCTAGCTAAGGATGGAGAAATAAGGAACTTGCAGAATGCAGATGACTTCGCCAAACTCCATATTCTGTGCTGTGTAATCCCCCCCTCAATAAAATTTGTGCTTCCTCTGTTTATCCAGCCCTCACCCTCTCAGTGGCCTGGATAATTCTGGCCAGTCTTGATAATTGATGATCCATCAGGTCTTCATCTGTCAAAGGATCCCAATATCTTGTTCCTGAAATCTGGTTATAGACATATTCTAGAATCTTAAAATTGGTTGTGGATTAATTTGAGAAGCATTTTGGGGCACAATAGCTGCAAACAAGACATGAGTTTACCATCTGTGCGGGAATAGATCTCTGTTTAGGAGGGGAATATGACCCTTCCAGTACATCTCTTTATTATATCCATACTCTTGCATCTTCTTTCTGTATTCTGTGACTTTCATTTCATGTTTCTTACTATTTTACCAACAATAGAAAAGCATGAATAACAAGTAAATTGTGTATATACCTATTTTCCAAGGATCAAGAGCCACTGAATTAAGTGAAGCACTTAATTTTACTTTTGCATAAGCATACATGCAAGTGGACTCAAACTGTTACTTTTGCATAAGCGTACATGCAAGTGGACTCAAACTGTTACTTTTGCATAAGCGTACATGCAAGTGGACTCAAACTGTTACTTTTTGCATAAGCGTACATGCAAGTGGACTCAAACTGTTACCCTCCACTGCAAAGCACTTAGGGGTCATGGATCTAAGGCGGCAAGCTCTTAAACCATCCCCAGTCAATCCAAGCCTCTCTTGTAGCAAGAGAAATAGTTGCTCTTTGCAGTCACCTCTCCTTGCCATTTACACTCACACCTCTTATGCCCTCACTGTACTGTTTGCTGTGGGACCACATAAGCCCCTTGAGACAGATCTTCTAGCTACCTTGATAATGCTGCCTACTTCCTGAAGAAGAGTGAATCGTGCAGAATACCTTTGGGCCTTTCAAGTCCAACTGGACTGCTCTACAACTCAGAGGTTTGCCTGTGGTTTATTTATTATTTATTTAGTATCTTTTTAATTCCACCTTTCCTCTTAAGGAGCTCAGAGTGGCATACATTGTTTTGTGCTCTTCCATTTTTTCCTCAAAACAACCCTCTGAGATAGGTTAAACTGAGTGTGTGTATGTGTGACTGGCACAAGGTCACCCAGCAATTTTCATGACACAGCGCGAATTTGAAACTGGATCTTCCAGATCCTAGTTCATCTTGCTTACCCACTATGCTATGATAGTGGAAGAAGTTTGTTCATGGCTTTTCTTTTTGGGTTTTTTTTTTTGTATTTTTGTATTTGTGTGTATGTGCATGCTACTGGAAATCATGGTGACCTCTGGTGACTAACCCCTACTGGGGGCATGGGGGATATTCAGAGAGGTGGCTGGATAAAGCCTGCCCCTGCCTCCTGCCTCTGGTGTTTCAAGGAGGTCTCCTATCCAAGTACTCGCCAGAGTTGACCCTGCTTAGCTTCTTTAAAAAATATATATATATTGCTTTTTCTAGTCTACAAGCCTACAGGGTCAAGGGAAGGGAACAACCTAAAACTACAAGTAGCAAGGATCATTAATACATAAATTCAAGATACTCAGCATTTCCCTATTACTCAAATAGTAATACATGAGAGTTAATACTATAAAAGTATAAAGGGAGTAAACACTTGGCTATAGTGTGTGTTTCTTAGCTTTAAGATAATTAATTTATAATAAACATCAGACTTTCAAAGTTACTCTATTTTGCTTATTTCTTTCATCTGCGCTTCTTATCAAAATCCAGTCTAACTTTTAAAGGTTTCGGAGCAGCAGCCCCTAATTCTGCTTCCTGGTCTGAAGATTCTGCCGAGCTGTTCACATCATTGTCAGAACTTCCCCCCTTTTTATCTTCTTCTTCTGCATCTTTGTTGTCCTCCACTTTCTCAGATCCGTCACTCGTTTTCTGTTGTTGCTTCAGGAACATTTTGGCTTTAGAGACAGAGTCAATCTTTTCTTTTTCCCCACTGTAGCTGAAGATAAGGCCTTCCGGAAATGTCCATCTGTATGGGGTAGTATGATTTTGCAAAAACAGTGTTAAATCTCTGTATTGTCTCCTTCTTTTCCTGATCTCAAATGGAACGTCTTTTAGAACTTTGATTTGTTCTCCTTTGATTTTCAAGACAATTCCATTTGTTGCCTTCAAAATTAAGTCTCTCATTGACCTTTTTGAGAATTTTGTGTATACTTCCCCGGGTAGCTTGTTTTTTAAAATAAATTCTGGATAAGTATGATATACCATATCCATATCGCTTTGTATCACTTCCGCTGTTAAGCCTACCACTGGAGCAAGCTCTTTGCTTAAAATCTGTTTCAGGTTCTCTCCTTTCTGCTCCAGAATGTTTTGAAATCTCAGGACATACGCTGATTTTTCCATCTGAAGAAGTAGCAATTGTTGACAGAGATTTTTTAAGTCTTTGGACTTAATATCAACTTTTTTCAGCTTCTTGGTTAACTTCTCTGTTTTTGCTGAAGTTTCTTTAAGCTCCTTTTGCAACATATCAAACTTGTCATTGAGGTTGGTCAACTGGTCCAGTAGAGGGTGCAAATCTGCAGCAATCATTTTGGGAAAGTCTATGGTTACTTCCGGTTTAGTAACCAGAGACGATATGCTGGCAGTTCCTGTTGTAAGTTTCGATTTCGCCACCATTCTTTCTGCTCGCTGCGTCATTGTTTACAGTTAGCGAAAAGTTTTCAGGAGTCTCTTAAGGTCTGGTAATAAGCTTTTAACTTAGTTTTTTCCGGGATTGGGATTCCCTTCCCCCTTCCACTTGTTTGGGATTTTGGGGCAGCTTTACTCTTGGGATTTAGGCGGTTGCTCACTAACTCATGAATCTACTCCCAATTTTTTCTTGTGTTTGTTTATGATGTAAAGAAGATCGTTTCATTTGGATCACTTGCGTGCTTGGGCCAGTATGCGCTCAAGGTGCCATTGCTGGCTCTGTGCTGTGGGAACCTATCGGGGCAAAAAGGAGCCTTGATCCCTTGGTTGCCGCCTCGGGAGAGGCACCTCACGCGCCCCAGGCTGCGACCCGCCTGCAAGGGGTCGCAGGGGTCCAAGATCAACTCGGACCCCTTCCCATTGGCATGTTTGCGGGCCGCTCACATCAGAGCAACAATGGGGCACACCCGCCTGCAAGTCGCCAAAAACCGGAAGTTGACCCTGCTTAGCTTCTGAGATCTGATGGGCTCGGACTTGCCTGGGCTATCTAGGTCAGGGCTAGTTCATGGCTTTTTGGATCACTTTTTGCATTTGAAAGCTGATTGCAAAATATCCATAAGGCAAGCATGTCACGTACTTCTTTTGTTACCTTTAAATGCCGCGAAATATGATCCACCCAAATGCCTGGTGCTGAAAATGAGACACTGAGCAAAGAAATGCATCTTAAAAAAACATTTTGCCTTATGAGTTGGCACAGAAACCAGATGTCAGAATTGTCTCTTTACAGTAGCACCTTGTTCTCCTCCCTTAAACCTGTCTCTCTGCACTTCACAAAATGAAGATCTGGGAAAGCTATCCTTTTGCTGTTGGTCCCTCTAGCTCAATGCTGTCTGCTCTTACTAGCCATGGCTCCCCAGCAAAGGAGGTCTTTGCCAGTCCTCCTACCTGAGATATTTAAATGGG